GAACGGTCTTGACTTATTGGCCTATTAAATCTCTTGACTCAGTAAGATGAAGGGCAAAAACAGGGTGGGGGAGACTTTATAATCCTCACTGTCTTATAAACAAGCAAAAATTAAACTGCCCGGAGAAGAGAATGGAAACTAATCTTTACTGATAGCTGTGGGTTATACTTTGGGCTTTTCCACATCTATTGCCTCTTAATCCTGCTTGTTTATAAAGCTTGTTGATTTTTACAGATCAATAAAATAAGGTTCACTGCTTCACTTAAAATCAATGATGGCTATTAAGTGACAAAAACAGGACTCAACCAGGGTGCTGTATAATTCCTACGTACCTGCTCTTTCTACTGGAACTCTGAATTGCATACTGGGTAGGCTCAGCACCAGCACCAAAACATTAGACAGCAATAACCAGTAAAGGGTCCAAAGACCCTCCTTTTCCTGTTTGGAAAAAGCAGCTCTTTGGCATTTAATAGCTGATTATTCACTCCACTGTAAAAGTTACAAAATATGTAGATCTGTTAATAAAGTATCTTTGTTTTTCACAGTAGTGCTTTTAGCAGCCTTGCTAAGATTGCTCACTTTCAGTTTAGTAAGAGGTTTAAAATTAGTGGGATAGTGGCAATTGCCATCTCCTTAGCCACTGCATATTCCAACAGCCCAACAACAAAGAAGAATCATTAACTCAAGAGGAATGTACTCTATTCCAGTCCCCTCCAGGGCGGTTCAGTAGTTAGTCTCACCCCAATGGATACTGAATACAGGAAAGAAACAAACAAGAAGTTTTTTTTTAAATCACATTTACTAGTTCACATAAATATCTGAAAACAAATACATCTGTCTTCCTTTCTGTATCACTGGCATAATTTATCACAGTTTTTAATAAACTACTGTAAATATCCATAAAAGGAAAATGAATTTTAAAACATGAAGAGTTAATAAATAGCCAAATAAGTCAATCATTCACAAGACGGTCTAAATTTGTTTTAAGATTAAGCCACTGATTTGCAACCTTTATTAAAATAAATTCACCTATAAAAACAAGGAAACTTATGGTCCAATCACCTTTTTTTTTTGATAGCAGTTTAGTTTTTACTTAAAAAGAAAAACTGCAAGACTTCAGCTTATGAACAAATAAAACATTCAGACTGAGTTTACACTTGTCAAATTCTATCAGCTCCAACAAATAAACAATGACTGCGTATCAATTCTGTTAGTCCCGTGTAAAGAATACACTTTCCATTTAAATGCTTTTAATCACGCTTCTGTAGGGCAAGGGTAGCTTCTAGTGAGAGCTGGAATATAGTCTGTTCTTGATGAAGACAACACTGGACAGATGTTGCCTGATGCCTGGATAGTGCTGAATGTGACAAAACCAGCGAGACACATTAAGATATTTCTCCTTTTCTTGGACTGTCAAGTCAACTATAAAGCGATGAAGTCCATAGTACAACAGGATATCTGCTAAGGTAAGGTTATATCCTGTGAGGTAGACTTTATCTTCAAGATATGAATTAAGATCCTTCAAGAGAGCGTGGGTGTTTTCCTTATTGGAGTGTCCGTCTACTCGAGTGACTCTGTATTCTAACCACTGCTGGACCATTGCTTTTTCTTCTGCAGTGCTTCCCAGCAAGTGTTCCTTGTTAGCTTGCTTGACTAAATGAGTTGCTATTGTTGTCAATCCTGTTAGACTTGGGCCATTGTTTGTCTGAAGAACTGGAATCTGTCGCTCGCCCTGAGCGCTGTACTTATTCCCCTTACTCAGCCCCAGGGACTTCTCCAGCAGCTTCAACTCCGCGGCCGCCGCCATCTTTCCGGTCTCAGCGCTTCGTTATCTTTTTGTTTGTTTGTTTGTTTTTTGAGCTAAGGTCTCACTATGTAGCTCAGGCCGGCCTTGAACTCACTGTGTAGTCCATGCTGGCCTCGAACTTGTGGCAGTCCTCCCGCCTCAGCCTCCCGAGCGCTGGCAGTACAGGCGTGCACCACCACGTCTGGCCTCCCTATCTTTATCTTTAGTTCTCAAATCTCCTTGTTTTGTTTTCCACTTTTTTACCATTCCTCAGCACTTCTCCCATGGGCAGCTATTTAATGTTTTCTTTTTACATGTAAATGATTTAGCAAAACATAATGCTATATTGTGTTTGCGCATTTAATTTACAAAGTGGTGTTGCTTTGTGAGCCTCACAGTATTTCTTGCTTTTAGCCATGCACCGTGTTTTTCAGATCCGTCCGTGCTTTGTGTCACGTGGCTCACTGGCTGCTTCTGACAGCTCTGCTCCACCCCGGGCTCTGCCACCTCTGTTCACGTCTCTGTTTCCTCAGCAGTGGGCTTTACACAGCTCCAACTCCGTTACTGTTACCAGCTGCTGGGGACTCCTTCTAGAGGTGGTTTCTAGGTTCTTTCTGTCCTGATCAAGGAACTGGTCAAGACAAGCGCAAAATGTGGTGAGGTTTTACATGTATTAAAGGTAGGAAAAGAAGCAGGTTTTACAGAGTGAGTTTAGGCCAAGTAAAAGAAGGGGAACGTATACTCTGCAGGATGATGGTGGATCACTGTGGAAGAACAGGGTGGCCAGCGGCTGAACCGAGACTGCTCCTCCCGCTCCCCAGGCTGGAGTCAGGTCAGGTCAGGGCATCCTACAAAAACTGCTCACATTCCCCAGAAGTCCACGTACAGTGCTGCAGGAGCTATTCTGGCAGTGTCCTGGGATTCTGCAATTAACAGCCCACCCCCACTTCTCCAGTCAGCCTGCCACGCACGAATCTCCCTTCTCACTGCCTTGAACAACACTGTAGCCTACAGGTCCTCTTCAGACCATCGAGAGGGATTCTCGGGAATATTTTTACCTAGAAACTTGTGGGTCAGTAGGAAGCATCCCACGTGCTTCCCTGAGCCTAAGCCTTCCTCGGAGGCTGAGCCAGTGGGTGTGTGTAGGTCCTTATACACCCTTGCCAGGTGTCTTCCAGTGTAATTTTTACTAATCTGACGGGTGTCAAATAACGTTTCATTGTTGTGTTAATTTCCCCTTCTCTGGCCACCAGAGAAGTTGGGGCATTTATTCACATGTACAGTAATAGTCTTTCGTGCTTCCTCTTCCGTGAATTAACTCTTTCTGTTCTTTGCACATTTTTCTGCTGCGTTCTTGTCTTCTTGTTGACTTGTAGCCTTTTTTCTTTCTGCTTTTTTTTTTTTTTTTTGGTTTTTCTCCGGTACCGGGAACCGAACTCATGACCTTGCACTTGCCAGGCAGGCGCTTTTGCCGCTGAGCTAATTCCCCAGCCCTCTTTCTGCTTTGTACACACGTTTCTTCTTGGTTTCAGGCATTACAGATAACACCTCCTGATCGCTCATTTCTCTGTTAATTTTGGCCATGGTGCTATTAATTTTGATGTAATCAAATTAAATACTTTCCTCATGGTTTATGCTTTAGGGAGTTTTCTTAAGACATTACCTATTCTCAAGTTGTAAATTTATATTAAACATTATTTTCTAATAACCTTATAATTTAATTTCCCCTTTCATACTGAGCTCTTTAATCCATCTGGAGCCCAGCCTCACGTATGGTTCTAGATAGGGATCCTGTTTATTTCTCCCTCGTTGTAAGCCAGTTTTCCCCACACCACCAAGAGATTCTGTTCCTCTCCTACTGATTTATGTACTATTTTTCTTTTAAAAATTCCTTTATAAAAATGGACCATCCCTCAGCTCTCTTTCTCTTTCATTTTATTTTCCTTCTTGTACCCATGCTATTTTGCGGGGGAGGGGTACTGGGGATCAAACTCAGCTATTTTTGATTACTATGAATTTGGATGCTTTCTGTCTGGGAGGGTGAGTACATTCAGTGATAATCTAACAAGGAGCTACAAGAAGAGATGTTTCTAGGGTCTCTGGCTAGCAGTCTTACCTGTCTTAACTTTGGTGTATCACAGGCCTCTATTAATATCTGCACCAACTTTGTTTATTTTTGCTTCTCTCATAGATTATAAAAAACTTAGAAACACTTTTTTAAAAGGAAATTCAAATTGTTCCTTATAGTCATAGCTTCAGGGACACAGTGACCCACACAGGTTATGGTTTAGGATCAAGACTGGGAGCTGTGGGTTTGCACTTAACCAAGGGCTTTTTACTCTGCATCCGGGACAAGCTGTGGTAGGAACAGAAAGTGGTACAGCGGGTAAGGCAGTGCTCTCCAGACGGGTTTCCTCTGTTGCTGTGGAAACGCCCAAAACTGGCCTTCGGGAAAGATTGGTCAATGGTTCCAAGTTACAGCTGAGTAAGACTAACAAGCTCTGGTGTGCTTGCACAGCGGGTGAGGTAGATAAGAATAATGCACTGTATTTTCAGAAAAGCTAGAAGAAAAGATTTTGAATGTTTTCACCACAAAAAGATACATTTTTGAGGAGATAGGTATGCTTACCCTGATTTAAACACTGCACTATATATGTGTGTATTCAAACATGACATAGTACCCCCAAATATGCACTATTTTAGGCACCAGTTACCTGCACACATATATGTAGCGAAGATTGGCATGTGGCTTTTACATGTGAGGAGAAAAGCACCCAGAAGTCAAGCAGAAATGGTTCTGTCACATGTTATTTCTGTGCAGCTCAGACTTCTAAAAAAACTACTTGTTACTTTTCCTCATCATTACCCATTAAATATACACTCAAGTTCCTTACCTCGAGCACAAGGCTTCAGAGGTGCCTGGTTTTTGTTTTTGTTTTTTGTCTTTTTGAGACAGGGTCATGCTACGGAGCTCAGGCTGGCCTTGAGCCCCCTTTGTAGCCCAGGCTGGTCTCAAACTCACAACAATCCTCCTGCCTCAGCCTCCAGAGCGCTGGTATTGCAGGCGTGCGCCACCACGCCCGCCCGGCAGGTTCCTGTTTTTTAGGCAGACTTTCCCTCGCCCCGTTCGGGGACCAGCACCGGCGGTGTTCCTCGTGCCCCCAGCAGGCGGCGTCCTCACCCCAGTCTGACGAGCGAGCGTTTCTCCCCGCAGGAACGACTCACGCGCCGGAGCAGGAAGCTCAGGAAGGACTTGGCGCTGCTGCAGCGGCTGGAGGCCCTCGGGGCGGAGAGGCTGCAGGCCCTGCGGGTGCGTGGGGCCCGGGAGGGAGGGCGCGGGTGTCCTGGGGGCGCTGCCTGCCCTGGCCCCGAGCCCGCCCGCCCTTCCGCTCGCGCCTCGGTGCGCTCTGCCTCCCCCATGCGCAGGGCAACGCAGGCACGGGCCGCGCCGGGCGGTGGTGTGTGCATGTGTGCACGAGTGTGAGTGTGTGTGAGTGCGTGCGTGTGAGTGTGTGTGTGCGCCTTCCCCCCTGACGTCTGTAGACCTGCCCGACGGGACGCGGAGGGCAGACGGCCTGCCTCTGAGCACCGCTGCGCCAGAGCTGTGAGGCGGGCGTCCGCCCCGTGCGGGAGGGGGCTGGGGAACCGCGTCCCACGCAGGTTTTCGGGCGAGTGGGGGCAGGGAAGGCGTCTCAGGGAGCCTCTCTCCTGTGGTTCCAGGTAGGCTGCGGGAACCACAGGCTGGACACCAAGCCGGAGAGCCTGCAGCAGACCGAGGGACAGCTAGAGGCCTTCCGTCGGCAGGGGCTGGATCAGCTGGAGGGCCCCGCAGACAGGGCCGGAGCCCTCAGCCTCTCCGAGGCGATAACACAGCTCAGCAGCCTGGTGGCTGAACTGGAGAGGACTGCCAGGGAGCTGGACCCCAGCACCCTGAAGGTGCGTATCCGAGGCAGCTCCCGCGCCCTGAGGTCCTCCCTGACTCGTAGCACCCTGCTTGCAGCACTCCTCTGGGAATTGTATGGGGAATTGTGCCCCTCGCGTGACCCAGGGTGACGTGTGGTTGGTGCCTAGGGCCACACAGTGCTGCTGCAGCAGGGTGGGGTGCAGAGGGGTCACTCCTCAGAGTGGCCTCACAGTGCGTTGGGAAGGAGATTTAGAGGTGGCAGGAACCTGATTATGATTCTCCTCTCTCTCCTAGCATGCCAGTGACCTACTGAGCAGGTATGCATCCTTCCTTCTCCCGTCCCATACGTGCAGACACCCGTGTGCCACAGACACGGGCAGTCCACACAGTACAGACCTGCATGTGGGCTCTGTCACTGTCAAGGAAATCGCCCGCCACACAGCCTGTGGAAGTGCCACAGAATATATGCGTATGTTTGAATTTATGAAGGATTTCTTTGTTTCTAGGAGTGCTCTACAGAACTTAGATAGACTCTCCTCTCTCCTTCCTCTACCTGGTCCAGCCTCCCATTAGGCGGGCCACCTCCCGAACGCATCCTTATTTGCTCAGCCCAACAACGGTGTCCCGACGCCTTACCATCCGACGCTTGTGCACGTCCTCCTTCCTGAGCCAGCCTCATGTTGTGGCTCCCACTGTGGAGGCCAGATCCATGCTCTGCAGGACCGTTTGCATGGCCTGCATCTGGCCTGTGAACTGATGGTTGCCCCCATCGCTGGCATCCTCACGTTAAAATAGAAGCACCCGGGCACGTGGATGGTTAGGCCGCCTCACCACAGGGAGCCCCGTGGGTGGGTTGGAGGAATCTCCCTTCCGAGCTCTAGTAGCATTTGTTGTCTGTACCACCCAACTCTCGCTTAGTCGTTGTTGTGGCAGACAGACTCAAGGGTGGCCCTCCAAATCCTCACTCTCAGTGTTCCGCCCTGCGTGCTGCGCCTGCCCTTCAGCGGGTGGGGTCTGACTTGCTTCCATCACTTCTGTGGGCTCCTTCTTGCTCACAGACTCACTCTGGAGCTGCTCCTTGCTGGCTCACTGGACAGCACCCCATGGGAGGTCTCCCGGCAGCCTGTAGGAACCAGAGCTGCCTCCACCCTCGCCATAGCAGTCAGGGGCCCACATGTCACAGCTGTAAGGAAATGGAGTCTGCTGACAACCTGAGTGGGACTGGAAGTAAGTTCTTTCCCAGCTGAGCCCTAGATGGGAGCCTGGTCCGGCTGCCATTGATCACAGCCTTGTGAAAGAGAAAGAGCAAGGGGAACTGTGCCCCAACTTTTTAATTGTGAGACAGTGACGGTGGGTTGTTTGGACGCTATAAACTTGTAATTTTTGTGGGAAAATTGGTAACTAATACAGCTGTGCACAGTTACTTGTGCCTGTCTCACTCCCTCAGGTGTGCACGGACAGCGCTCGTGTGCCCATGGTGTGAGACCACGCCCAGCTCACAGTTAGTGTTCAGGAAAACTTCAAATGGATGCGGCAAAGAGCTAATAAAAGCGTGAGGTCCCTGCCTGATCCTCCATGTTTAAAGGGCGTCATTAACTATCTTTTAGCCACGGTTTATCGAGCTCTTGCCGAGATAGTCAGTTCCATGCTAGGTACTGAGGAAATGAAGAAAATAATGTGACCACAGGAGTTGCCTTGTTGTGCTGCAAAATGGAAATTCAGTGTCAGACTGGAGTTTAAGCCTCCGTCCTGACTCCCAACAACTTTTGTAACACTGGACAAGCTCCTTCGCCTCTCTGAACATCAGTTCTACTCCCTTTTAGAAAAGGCTTGCGATTGTTTTAAGGATGAAATGTAAGAGTTGTACATTCGTAGTGCCTACTGCAGTGCCTAACACATCATAAATATTCACATGTAGTAATCTCACCTCTTTTTAAACATTGTATTTCCAGAGCTGCAGGTACGGGAGAGTATGTACACTAAATTCAGTTGTCAGAGGCTAAGTGCTCCAGGAATTCAAGGACAGATGCAGGTGACACTGGAAAAGTCAGAGCAGGTTTTGTGGGGGACGTGGGGAACAGAGAGGCAGGAGAGAGAGGTGAGAATATTCTAGGTCAGTGTGTTGGTTTGGGGGATACTTGCAAGGGGAACAATATAATACAGGACACATATAAGATTATTTATAATAATTACCCAAAGAATGATGTACAAGAGAGTGCAGGAAATCTGTCCACACACTACTAAGGAATCTAGGCAAGGCCTGGATCCTAGGGAAATGTCCGCATGAGTCTAGCTGAAGACCTAGAGCTCATAATAATGCCTCCCATGAGTCCAGCTGGAGGCCCAGAGCCCATAACAATATCTCATGCAGGCCTCTTTCACAGATCTGTGCTGGGAAGACCCAAAGGTCAGTAGTGGAATCCAGGAAGTCTGTGCCAGCAGGTTGAAGGATCTGTGCTAGCAGGCTGAGGGATCTGCACTCAAACTAGGAAGCAACGCACAAAGTAAGAACCAGAGCTCCCCTGAAAAATACCATAGCTATCCTCAGCAACAGTGAGGTCCGAAGCTCCTCCAGTGATCAGGAGTTCCCATCAGGAAAGCCAATGTGACAAGCTTCTCCAGGAGACTGAGCAATGCACCATTTTTCCATCTGGAGCCAGGAAACGATGCTCCGAGTGAGGACCAGAGCTTCCCCAAAATGAACCATAGCCATTCTCAGTGACAACAAGGTCCTGAGCTCCTCCTCCTCTGAGAACAGCTGAGTTCGTCAGGAAAGCCAGCATGTCAAGCTCCTCCAAGAGACCCAACAGCTCTTTACAGCTTCTCTCACCTTCCAGCAGCCTTACTTCTTCTCCAGTTCTGCCTCTTGTGCTGCTGGCAGCAATCCTCAGGTGGGCCTCCCACACCCAGCGCTACACTTACTCAGTTCAGCTGGGGGTTATAAATTGATCACCAGTTGTCATCCACCACAGTCAGAATAGCTACTTGAACGAAAGCACAGAGAAAGGAAAAAGCTGCAGCACAACTGTGAGGAGACTGAGGTTAGTCTGCGACGTCCAGGCACAGGGAGAAGTCAGACAGGTGCAATGATGGCGAGTCGGCAGGAGGGGAAGGAGAAAGAGCCTGGTACAAATGCTCAGGGAAACAAGAATGGTTACTTGGCAGGAAGCCTTCGATCTCAGAAAAACAAGACCCAGCTTGGGAGAACACTACAGCTGAGAAAAGAAGACCTGTGAAGGTGACAGCCAACAATCCCTGCACCCCTGGTGGGGTTAGTGTCACAAAGGACCTGTCCCCACGGTAATGGGAGGAGACGTGGGTCTCTGTACCTCGAGAGGCCAGTGACAGTGCAGGCTGGTGTCAGGTCCTCCACCCTCTTCTGACGTGGCCACTGACACCTCGGCCAGGGGAGGCAACTGGTCACAGACGGTGGCCAACTGCGTCTGTGAGGCAGCCTGTTGGGAAAGAACTTGACAAAGAAGGACAATGACAAGTAGCTGAAATCATCAGGCTCTGTGGTGACAAGGAGAGAGCAACCATGCTGAACACATGGCCAGTGCGGGGCCACAGTCCATGGCCTGTGCTGCTGATCCCAGTCCACTTTCCTGCTTGGCGTACGTACGTCACACGGTGGCTTGGTGGCCGTGAGCACAGGCTTGGAGCCGAACTGGATTCCAGTGCTTGGGCTGTGGCTCACTGCCGCTGATTAGGAGCCGTGCTTAACCTCCGCGCCTCAGTTCTTCTGTACATAGAACGGACTGTTAACAGCTGTACCTACCTCATAGGGTTGTTGTAAGGAGTTAAAATGTGAAATAGTACTTAGGTAGCAGGCGTGGTGACACACGACTGTAATCCCAGCCCTCGGCTGAGGCAGAAGGATCACAAGTGCAAGTCCAGGCTGGGCAACTTAGTGATTTATCAAAATGCTGTCTCAGAATAACAAATAAATAAAAAGGGCTGGGGATGTAGCTCCGTTCAGAGGGCCTGAGTTTAATCCCTCATGCTGGAGAAAATAATAATAATAAAAACCTTGCAGTGTTTGACCAAAGTGAGTTTTATGTGTGTTTGTTGTCAGCATTTGTAAGTCCCTAGTTCCTCTGGTGGGACTGGCGGTGTTCCCGCTTTCTGTGCCTCCTCTGCCACACCTCGCTGTGAGGCCCAAGAATTGTGTTTCCATGTTTCCACATCTGTGCTTACATAAACTTTCCTGTTGAGCCGACTGGAGTGGGGCTCCCTTCTCACAGAAACAGCTGCTGTAATGGAAGTTGTGAAAAAATTAGGTATGAGTGTGTGGAGTCACAGAAGCGTGTGGCACTGCTTCGGAGCCGAGAAGGTCTGCTGGGAGCACGGGGCCTCTGGATACACTTCCTGCCGCCCACAGTTCCCTGTCTTGGAGCCATGGTGAGGTAGGACCCACGCACTTCCTCCGGAATAAATCAGCTTCAAGTAAAATTACCCTGGGGAGGAGCAGGTACTGATAGGCCAACACGAGCCTTTCCGCTCAGTGGCAGTTGTATTTTTTTAAGTTTTAGGGTATTAGTCCGTGTGTGGAGCACATAATGTTTATACTCCTTGTGTGGGGTTGGTACGGGTGCATACCACATCCCAATTCCCTTTTTTCATCCCATCCTGTAAGAGATACAAATATCTTTAATTGGGACGTATTTCATTAATTACTCTAATAAGCCCAAATTCTCAGAATTAGCTGGGTCAGTAGCGGCTATAAAAGACTCACACCAGAGATAAGGTTCTGGAGTAAGAGATAATTGCTAAACAAGTTTTCTTCAGTTACAGTGCTGCAAGCCAAAGGCTCACAAAACACACACACACACACACACACACACACACACACACACACACAAACCAGAGGGAGGAAGGGCAAAAAGGAAGGAGTGGGGAGTAACAGGTGCAGGCTCAAGACAGCCTGAACCCGGGTCGCCAGCTGAGGGGGCTCCTGCGAGTGAGGGATGGACACGAACAGCTTCGCAACTGTGGGCGCCTGGCTCACTTGGGCCCTGCTCTTGCAAGAGCACAGATTTAAGCCTTGCTCTCGCTGCCCTGGAGTCATTTTTTGGGTCTGGACACTCCCCCTCCTTTTACTTCTCAGGGTAAGAAATATAAACTTTTTCTGGCCCAAGTCATGTGGGCCGCACTGCATCCACCACACCCACAGCGGTTAAGAGCTCTTTTTTTTTTTTTTTTTTTTTTTTTTGGTTTTTCTCCGGTACCGGGGGTTAAGAGCTCTTGTTGAATGCGGATGAGCTCCTAGCTGCACACGCAGTGCTGAGCAATTGACCCAAGCCCACTGGGCCTCCTGGTCTTTGCTCCAGGGTTGACGATGGGATCTGCCTTACGGTTACTGAGAGGTGGCTTGAGCTGCTAGACGCCTCCTGCAGCCCAGGTTCTTTACACATGAACCTCACAGTCCTGAGTGAGGAGCATGACAGTAATTCTGTCATAAAGGCACAGAAATGCAGCCTGCCGGACCCACATTTATGCTCTAGAATATTTCTGTTAATTATTAATCTTAATTTTATGAGTTTATTATACTAAACAATGAGTACTTAACAGGAAAAAAATCCAAAAATAGTTTTGAATTTTTAATATTTATTGCTTATAAAAAAGCATCAAAATTTTCAACATTGACTGTTTTTTGGTGCACAAAATATAAAAAAGAACAGCACAGGTAAATTCTTATATGAACGGCAATGAAAATATCAATAGCACTTTACAAAAAAAAAAATCTTTACTTCTGTCTTGGTTACTTTTTTCTTGTTGCTGGGACAAAACACTTGATGCCCAAAATTAAGGAAGGAAAGGTTTATTTAGCTCACAGTTTGTGGAGGTTTCATTCCATACTCGGCTGGCTCCAAGGCAGAGTGGCACATGGCAGAGGGCAAATGTTCATGGTGATGGAAGACAGCAAAGCAACAAGAGCAAAAAGGTGGAGGAGCAGATACAGCAAGCCTCTTGCTTTCCCTTATATTGTATGCAGGTGACCTGCTCCAGGGAGGGTGTAGCACTCACACCCATAATCCTGTTATTGGACCATGAATTAGTCATAAATGCTAGAAGCCTACCCCAGGTCTGCATGAGGCTTTGGGGGGACACCCAGACACAAACCATAACAGCTTCAATAATCATACTTAAGGCAGTCTGCACACATGACAATAGCTCGTTCTGTATACACATATCTCTTACACTGACAGCACATATGTTTTGCTTTCCTGGACTTTTTGTAGGACATACTTGACATCTTGCTGGTCTTGCTGTTTTGTCCTGAGATTCTTACTGTATTATACAGTGTGAGGTTAATAGGAACATAAAACATTAATAAAATAGATTATTAAATTCTTAATATGTATTGTACACTTAGAATGGACATCAACATTTTCATATCAGCTGTGTACTTGCTTATAAAACCTAAAAGATAACATCAGAAATAAATTCCTATATGAACTATAATGAAAATATCAGTAGAGCTCCACCACAAAAATAATCCTTGCTTAAACTGTCATACCCAAGGCAATCTTCACACACAGTAACTGCATGTTCCATGCACATATCTCACTTACACTGACAGCACATGTGCTTAGCTTTCCTTTCCTATGTGGCAGTCTTGTCACCTCTCTTCCTGTTCTGTCAGGAGCTTCCTACTACACTGTACAACATGCACTAAGCAGGGAAATAAGATAGCAATGAAATAAAATATCAAATATGTAATGAGTGCTTAGAATAGACGTTAACATTTTCACATTAGCCTCTTACTTGCTCACAAGCCTATAAGAAAACATCGAAAATAAACCTATGTGAACTGCAGTGTAAACACAAACAAAAGTCTACCACAGAAATGAGTTTTGCTTCAACAGTCACACCCAAAGCCGTCTCCACACATGACAAATTCATGTTCCATACACAAGTATCACTTACACTGATAGCACGTATGTTTTATTTTCCTCTCCTTTCTTGTAGGGCACGGTTGACATCATTTGCAACTTGTTGTCATAGTTTTCTTGTTGTCATAGTTGGTCTTTGTGATGCTGCACCTGCCTGTTCACCTGTCAGCTCACCAATGTGTTCTATAATTTTTTTGCATAGTTCCCTGGGGAAAAACATTTTATATTTCCTCTGCAGTAAATGATCCCTTGTGAGTTCCAGTCCTGATCCTCTAAGAAAATTTCTCTGTGAGATTTTTGCACTTGTTATTTTCTTTGAAAACTGTCAAACTATTTATGCCGCACAGGTTTAGGATCAAGTAGAACACAACCATTTGCCAGTGCTTTGTGTTTCAAGTTGATAAGTCACAAGGCAACCCCCCCCCCCACCGCAGGGGACGTAAGCTCTTTTATTAAGGAGTTAATAAAAACTCCTTCCTCTTCACCTGTTCCCCTCCAGTTCCCCTCGGCAAAAGCCAACCTCACCCTCATCCGCCTTGGCAGAACCAGACGTTCAACTCTTATGAACAACCCATCCCTCTCAGACTGTTCTGGCCCATAGACACCCTCCAGAAAGACAGCTTAAAAACCCCATGCTTTGCTCAGCTCAGGGATGTCCTAGTCCGCTGGGCACCCCACCATGTCACTCTCCCCTGCAATAAAGACTCCTCTCATGTCAGAGGTCTGGTCTGGTTCTGGGTGGGTCTTGCCTGATCATATCACAAGTGACATCACAGTTGCTGCATAACTCGCCAACAGCATCTACTCTGCCTTTGGTTTTGTTGTAGAAAGTTTCCATCTCAGGCTTCTGTTTTGTCAAGGTTTCCCTACTGATATTTCCATAATGATGAAATGTTGACATCAGCAGTACCAGTTTGTCTTTCTTTGTCGTATGTGAGACCAATGTTATCCCTTTCTGAAATCCAAAGATTGTACTATACAATTCTTTTTGAAATTGCAACATTCATTTGGAATTTCTGCTTTGTTCCTGCTTGCAGTTCCTGCACTGGTCAACTTGTGCTCTGTTAGCAAATGTAACATCCACTGGAAACTGGTGAACCAACAGTCGAATGTCACGTTCTGATTAGTTTGGGAGACGGGAGCATCAGGTCTGTTCACAGCATCATTCAGCTTATTACCATATGAATAAGGACCTGGTGGCTGAGTCCCAGGGTAAATGTCTAAATTGAAAGCATAGTAAGTCTTCCTATCTACAGGGGCATTAATTTTTATGCCATATTTTGACCCATCACTCTTCAATAAGTCTTACATTTCTGCAATAACCATGAGAAATCCCTGTTAAGTACAGCAGATCTTTGAATGCTTTCAGTCCAGCTAGTCAGATGTCATAATAAATACATTTTTGAATATGGCTATTTGTGCATACACAATGTTTTACTTGCATTTCAGCCTTTGTATGCTTCACAGCATCTCGTAGCATTTTGTCTGCTACAGTTTCCAACACTGAAGGCAATATTGGCATTCTATCCAATACATTTCACCCCTGCCAAGTTCCTCATTATATTTTGGGACTTAGTTCTAACATTGGATTGTTCCATTTGGTTGTGTGGCCATTTTGCAACATTTCAACTAGTCAAATACATACTCACACTGCTGTTTTCTTCATCATCTGAATCAAGGAGGTCTGTGTTCCCTGTGTCTGTATCAGTTGATTCTTGTTCCATTTCACTGTCACAGGAACTTTGGCTTCCATGCCAGTGTCAAAGTCATCATCATCATCATCATCCACCCACACCACTCTTCTGTTATGAAAGCCTGTATGTTACCACAATGGATCATCTTCACCATCCAAGCATGAGTAATCTGATTTCCTTCTGTCCTCCAAAACTTGCAAATCTGGTTTTTTATATGCCATTGTACTGAATTGGACTACTTCTACCAGAAAAATCAAAAGAAAACTTCTTAAAAGCAAATCCTGGAGTGGTGTGAGTCTGTTAGACCCTCTGTGATGCTCAGGTACACATACACAAAACCAGTTAGATGGAGCATAAGGTGGGTAAAAATCCCGTTTTGCCACTTTTGCAGGCATGCACACACACACACACCTTGCTGTTCATAATATCAGTACATAGATTGCTTCCTGCATCCCTCAGGGAAAGATACTGAGACACACAGCCAGCTACTATTACACTGAAGTATAAATTTAAAGTAGAAAAGTAAGGGATAGGTCAGCTGGATCCAGTGTTACGTTCCTTGATTAAAAGACACAGTTTAAACCCATGAAAATAATAAGGGAGTTACAATTCGGTCTGTAGTGGAGTCCCAGGTCTGTGAGCTAGGGAGATGTTTTTATATTCCACGGGCACTCATGGTGTTATTTTGGGGATATTCATCATTGATAAGCAACACTGAAAACTCCCAGGAAAAGCCATGTGCTCTCCCCAGTCCCTGGCTCCTGATCTCCAGGTCTTTTCCAGCTGTGGAGCTGAGCATAAGTAACAGGACTTCTCGGAGGAATTCTGAGCTAAGCCCAAACACCTGGAGCCCTCTCCTTGGCGATACCTCTGGGTGGCGTACCTCCTCCCGTGGACCCAGTCAGGTGAGGAGAGCACAATGTGGTTTATGTCTGAGCAGTGAAAACAGATAATTTTAAAGAAACAGCCAGCAAAGGTCAAGTTTAAGCAGAGTAAAAAGTAACACAAGAAGAAGAAAATAAATTACTCAGTGTGGTTAAAAAATGCTTTTATTATGTATAGCACTGCAAACCCACTCTCCAACAGATATCACTTTGCAAATTCTAGGCAGCAACAAATTGGTGCCTATGTGCGTCCCAGAATGACCCAGCGGGACCACAGCCTCCCCTGGTAACGCCGGTTCCCGTCTTCCCCAGAGCTCTCCAGGCCAATCTGCTCATCTCCCATCCCTGGTCTTTCCCGTTTCTGTCCCAGCACGTGCCACTTTTGTCTGGTCCTACAGCAGTTCCAGCTCTAGACTGAGCACAGGTCATCCGCGCCTCCCCTGCCTCCATCTGCTCTCCCCCAGCGCACGGGGCAGACGGTGCTGTTCCTCTCCCACTTAGCCCCTGTGACTCATGCTCTTGCCCTCAGCTGCTCAGGAAGATGAATTCCCCGATTCAGAGCCACACCTCCCCCTTACCCTGTCCCCAAGACCCTGCCTCTCGTCTCAGCTGGAAGAGACACCGTCAAGAGGGAAGGCAGTGCGTGGTGTTCGGCAGGCGTGGCGAATGTCCCCTCACGACACAGAGAGGACCCAGCGCCCCGTGGGTCACAGAGCATCTGCCCTGTTCTCGGTTGTTCCCGCCTTCTAAGATGCTTCTCCTCCTCCCTTCCTCACGCATCCTCTGGACCCACCCCTTCCAAAAAGCCATCTGGACGGACCCTCTCCTTCCGGCAGGGCCACGCAGGTCCTCTGAGCTCCACAATGCCCGGGCGGACACCTCACACTGCAGCCACCACGCTGGGCCCAAATGTCCCCTGTGTCTGTCTTCCCTCAGCACCTTCAGGTACAGCACAAGCTTTTCCTTTTTATTATTTCAGATCACCAGTGGCTACCACACAGCCTGGTTCATGGTCAGCACACAATCAAGTGTTCCTGAGGATATGAATAAGTGAACTCTAACATTCTTCAAAGAAAGATGAAGAGAGGTGAGGTTTCTTGCTTACAAAGCAGACAGCTGGTTGGTGACAAGGCTTCGCCCAGGCAGTGCTCCTCTGGTGGGGACGGTGGCGAGGAGAGCGGGCCACAGCTGATGCCCAGAACCCTCGGCACCCACTGGGCACCTGATGGCAGACTGAAGGTTATGCCGCTGTGTCCCTTAGCAACGAGGCCACCACGCTAAGCAGCCATTTCTACCCCAAATCTTCAAGTGAGTGCCAGCGGCTCCAGTCCACCTAGCACCTGCTTTCAGTCTTGCAGCTGCACCCTCTCAGTAGCTCAGGGAGAAGCCGGACCCTCGGCCCCAGACCCCGAAGAAGGGAAAGACCTCCCGAGTGAAGGAGGCCGTGAAGGTGTAGATGTGCTCCTGGGTGACGGCATTGCAGAAGGTCACCCAGCCCACCTCGTAGTCCAGGGACACCCGCAACTGCCTGGGCTGCTCCTCCAAAGCCAGCCGGGTAGGGAAGGAGCCCAGGGCGGACACGAAGCCCCAGGCCAGCCGCACGGCCCACACCCCCGCCTCCGGCCGCAGGCGCAGCTCCCCCTTGCGCTGCACATCCCCACTGGCCACCCCCACGGTGCAGCTGCCCCCGTGGGCCAAGTCCACGCTCACCACCCACGTGTGTCTGCCCCCTGTGAAGCCACGCAGGGCCAGCACGCAGGTGGCCCGGTCAAAACGCTGGGGGCTGTCTGGTGAAATCTGCCATTTGTAGGAGAACCGAGCCCGCTGGTGGTCCTCGGACAGGAGGAGCTTGGGGTGGGAAGTCTGGGGGTCCAGAGAGATGTGAGCTGTGGAAAAGCAGAGAGAGAGAGAGGTGGGCAGAGGTGCCGTGACCTTCGAGGACGGCCCGGGCCCTGGCCCTGGAGCCCATGGGCCAGTGTTGGAGCACAGCCAGACCACAGCACAGGGCTCCCCTGGAGTTTGTTGGAAGCGGATTCTCAAACTCTGCCCCTGAACAGGCGCCCAGGGCTCTCGTGCACACCCTAAAGCCCGCAGTGCTCTGCAAAGCTGTGTGCTCACACGCGCTCGCTGGACCTCCTCCAGCTGGGACACAGCCCCCGCCCCTCCCATCCCCATCTGCAGCGACTTTCCTCCCCGGGCCCCCCTTCTCCGGGGTCCCTCCACCCCCCAGGGCCCTGGGACCCTTTACCTTCCCCCACAGCCTCAGGAGTTCTAACCCTGCAGGCTGTAAGAACCACCTTTAACGTGAACCTGCAGAGCCCACAGGCGGTCCCTCAGAACACTCACTAATGGAGACCTGCCACGGTTAAAGGGCCCCTTCCAGCTACCCCACGACTCCACAGGGCCTGGGCTGATGCGGCTCGAAGGGTTTGTCCTGTGCCTTCCTGTCCCCTCTTCCTAATGTCATCTGTGAAAAGACATCTGACAGGGCCGGGGGTTCCTGACAGTTCTGAGACCAAAGTCTCCCTTGTCTGGAAAGTCTTCCAAGACAGGAACCTTTCCATTAAGCTTACTTGCTCCAGTCTTTCTACAGGCTCAACGTGTGCAGGACAGACACGAGCTTCTCCAGGAATGATGGCTGAATGCCTGGTCCTTTCCTCACAATTCCCTTCCGGGTCTCACAAAGGAAGTCACACACTCACACACACACACACACACACACACACACGCGCACACACAGAGACGTGTAATCCCTCAGGAATTATGGGGTTAGAACTGCTGCAGATACCAAAATCTGCAGATGCCTCACATGGAATGCGTAGTCTGTAAATAGACACATTCTCCTGTAGACTTTAATTTTTTTTTTTTTTTTGTCTTTTTGAGACAGGGTCTCACTACGCAGTTCAGGCTGGTCTTGAACTCATTTTGGAGTCCAAGATGGCCTCAAACTCACAACAATCCTCCTGCCTCAGCCTCCAGAGTGCTGGGATTACAGGCATGTGCCACCACACCTGGCTAGCGACTTTAAATTATCTCTACATTAATTATTATACCTAGTACAATATAGCTGCCACGTAAGTAGCTGTTATACTGGATTGTTTAGTGACTAATGACAAGAAAAGGTCTGCCGTGTTGAGTACAGACACATTTTTTCTCCTGAGTATTTCCTATCTGAGGTTGAATCCATGGATATGGAACCCGTGGATATGGAGGGCTGAAATTGTGTGTGTGTGAGAGACACACATATACCTGACACACACACACACACACACACACACACACATGAGGACACAGGTGATTTTTCAGTGCTCGGTGCAGAGCTGTGCAAAGTCACCTTGCTCTCGGGACTCCTCACTCCCTGCCATCCAAGGTGAGCTGCTTACCTGGCTCATAGTCCAATTCAAAGCAGAGTTTTTCTGCAAAAAAGAAAACAAAACAAGATGAGTTCATTCATCCCAAAACCACAGCACATCCAGCAGTAAGGAGAGTGAGGGGAGGGGAGAGGGGAGGCACAAGAAGAAAGGAAGCTGGAATTTCAGGATTCTCTCTCTTTTTTCTTTAGACAAAAAGTCCAGAGTGCTATGTAGTTCAGGCTGGCCTTGAACTCGCTGTGATCCTCCTGCCTCTGCCTCCTGAGTGCTGGGATTACAGGCATGTGCCACCACGCCCAGCCAGGCTTTGTGACTCTACACCCAGACTTGCACCAGGACCTCCGGGCTGTGCTAACACACGCCTCCTTCAGATCCTGATGCTCTGGTTGGGGTGCAAATCTGCACCTGCCGGAAGCTCCCAGGGACACGGTCCTGCTGGAAGGGAGCCCTGCCCAGAGCCTGTCTCTGCCCGTGGAGCCCAGCACGCGGTAAGTGCTCACCAAGCATCAGCTCACTGAACGGGTAAGTGCCTGCCCTTGTCTCCATTCCTCCAGGAAATAATTTTAGGGCAGTCAAAGGTCAGTCTTGATTAGAGTACAGTGTCCTGCACTGCCACGCCATGGGAATACCAGCAGGCTGCAGAGGAAACTATTCTACGGTAACATTTTTACGGGTGGGTCACTTAGAAATAGGTGACGTCATCCACGATGTCGCGGTGCAGGCGGGCGGAAGCCACCGTGCTTCCCCATTCTCACTGCAAACTCCGTCTCATCACTGCTTCCGGTTCCAGGAAGCAGGCGGGGCCCGGGCCGCAGGGGCAGCCCGCGACCAGAGCCGCTCCCAGAGGGAAAGCAAACGTGAGGGAGGGCTGACTCAGCGGCTCAGGGCACGCACGGCCATGGCTGCCAGTTAACAATGTTCACCATCAAAACTCATCGCATATGAGGGCGCTGCTGTAAAACTGTAAATTACTCAGAATGATAAGTGCGGTTAATCATTATCTGGTACATTGCTTAATGCAAACTGATCAGATTTGTCTAATTATCCTTCAAATAAACTGACTTTTCCCCAGAAATCTTCACCTTTATCATTTCCTTCTATTGTTACATTATTCTGAGAGGAGGATGTTATAAAAATCTGCAAATAAAATCAAGTGGCGGAGAGGGGGCAAGTCGCACAGAAGCCCACCACCGACCACTGGGCAGTGGCGCACGGAGGCTGGTCCTCAGCGGCCTCCGCACCTCGCTCTGAGGAGCCGGGCCCCTTACCCAGGAAGCTCTTCACCTCTCTCTGCAGTGGCAGCGCCCGCCGGGGGAAGTCCCGGATCTGCTGGCCCAGCTCCGGGGACACGGCCTCTGGTTTCCGGCACTTTCTGGTTTCACATCTGGCGGCACAGGAGCGGTGGGGTGGGGACGATCTCCTCGCTGATGCCTCCAGAGCAGGCCGGCCTTCCTCGAACGCGGCCTGGAGGCGCCAGCTCGCAGGGGAGGGAAGTGTGTCCACACCTCCTCTAGGACGCACCCCACGACCACCCCCAGGGCTGTGTCTACAGCTGCGTCAGAACGCACTCGGGTAAGTGGGCGTTTACATGTCAACCTACGCCCTTAATGTGAGAACGTTGTATGTCTGTGTGACACTAGCGAGCCATGTGTGCACAGATGTGTATTTATGCGGAAAAGAGAAACTGCATCACTTACCTTATTAGAGTGCTTCTGATATCCTAAGGGAAAGAAAGAGTAGGGATTCAGTGTCCAGTTTTTCTCTTCTACTTTTCTTATAACTGCAAAATACAAAATTCCAGGTAGGTGTGGTGGCACATGCCTGTAATCACAGCACTCTGGGAGGCTGAGGCGGAGGACTGCAAGTTCAAGCCTAGACTGGACAACTTAATGAGACCTTCTCTCAAAATAAAAAAAAATTTTTAAAAGGCTGAGGATGTAGCTCACTGTGAAGGCCCTGGGTTCAGCCTCCAGTACACCAAAATACAGAACAACAACAACAACAAATTTAAAATACCACGTTCTTAGGCCTGGATAGAAAAACGACACCAGACGGCAGAGTGTTAGTGTTTAGCAGCCTTGGAGGACCAGAGGCAAATTCTTTAGAGTATGGACCCACATGTAGAAAGGCCCCTGCTGGTCTGACACCAAGGCAAGTACATCTCACACCAGGGCACGCTGGCTCTCAGCCCTCGGTGCAACCCCCAAATGTGGTGCCCAGCGGATGCACCTGTGCCACAGACGGCCGTTTGTTACCATGGAGAGCTCTAAGAGGTTCGCCATCACTGCCCTACATCATGCTGCCTTTCTATACCCTGCTGGGACCCCAGCCTCTCTCCTCCAGGTTGAGAAGAGCCAGGGAGAACGTCCTGACTGTGGACAGGAACGTTCAGGTTATAAGGAACGGTTTGTTCACATGATACTTTTCAAAGTGTTAATTCCACTTCTGTTTTACTGCAGGGTCCTCCAGGAGCGCCGTGAGAACTTTGTTATTCAGGGGATGGTGGGATGCAGAAACCAGGAGCAGACACAGGGACCAGGGACGCTTGGGGAAGGACAGACTAGCATTCGGGTCGGGCCGGCGACCTGTCCCCGCTCCGGGAGCAGGATGTGTGCGTGAATGAGGCTCCGAGAAGACAAAGGCGGTGAGCGCAGGCGGGCTGGGCTCACCGTCAGCAGCTCGCTGGCCGGCCTCTCACTCTTCTCCTCCAGCTCTTCAATCAGCGTGCTAAACCGGCAGATCTCCCCAGCAACCAGGCGGTCGAACTCCTCCTGCTGCTCCAGGATGTCCCCGTCCAGCTTTTCCAGTTGCGCTAAAAGGATGCCCCGCTGCTCTTCCAGAAACTGGCTCAGATGTGCAAACTCGGACATCACCTGCTGTCTCTTGGTGGCCACCTGCGTCTGAGGGGGCAGGAGGAGAGCCCAGAGCACGCCGTCCTCCCCCATGCTTCCCCTCCCCTCTGCCTCCCCCTCCGAGTCCTCTTCTCCTTTTCTCTTCTCTTTCCTTTCTTCGCTCTCCTCTCCCTGTTGGCCCAGGTCCACATCCTCCGAGGTTTGGTGGTAAAATCATGACCCCTCTGCCCACCGCCCTGGTCCCCCGACAGACCTGGAGGTGTGACACAACCAAGTTCTACCTGCCATCCCTCCTCAGAGCTGCCCAGGCCAGCACTGCCTCAGCACCATCTGTGGGGGCCTCTGAGGGCTCAGGCTAGAGGAGGTGGTAGGCACCCCCGCGCTCCCGCCTGGCAGGAAGTGTGCACGTGTGTGAGGCACCAAGCAGCACCAAGCCACGTCCCAGGCACAATCTCATTTGCTCTTTGCAGCAGCCCAATACTGCAGTGATGATTTTCAGTCTCTCCTTTACAAATAAGTGAGCTGAAGTTCATGAGTCGCCTGAGCTCACACCCTCAGCGTCAGAGCCAGGATTCAAACTCAGTGTGACTTCAAAGCCCTCTGCACTGTGCCGCCTCAGTTTCCAGGACACTGGGCCCCGAGGAAGGGCAGGGCGGGAAGGGCGCGAGGACCTACCAGCAGGACCTGGATCCTCTTATTTTCTCTTGATTGAATTTCCTGGATCTCCTCTCTCTCTTTTCTTAGATTCACAAGACACTTCTGTATTTGTTCCTAGGGAGAAGGAACACATGAATACGTGATTCATTGTGGGATTCAAAGAATCCCACCCTCTGTCTCTGCGAAGGAGATGCTCCCAGCAAAGGAGTTTGTCCCTTAGCTGATGATGCTTGGCCTTCCCAGCTTTGACAGTTTACTTCCGTGGGTCTTATTCCTGCTGCTTTGTGCTCCGGGAATTCTGCTCAAGGCTTTCCATTTTTCTCAGCAAAGGCTATGACTTGGTTTCCCGCTTCAGGTTAAACATCCTACTTTCCTTTGCAGCTGGTAAATGGCATTTATAATATTTCCTGAGCTTAATATCCCCCGTGCTGAAATTATTCTGACTTTCTGACTCATCCTAAAGGGAACACATGCAAATAGCCACCTTCCCTTGTTACTAGAATCAATTATCTAGCTGGGTGTGGTGGCATATACCTGTAAGCCCAACATTCAGGAGGCTGAGGCAGGAGGATCACTGAGAGTTGGAGTCCAGCCTGGGCTACCTAGTGAGTTTATGACCACCCTGAACTACACAGTGAGACCCTGTGTCAAAACACCAAAAAATGCCTGGGGATATAGCTCAGCGGCACAGTGCCTGCCTGGAAGTGCAAAGTTGTGAGTTTGATTCCCAGTGTATATACAAAAAAGATCAATAATGTAGGTAGGATTCTGGAGGGAGGAAGAAACTTGGATGATGCAAAAATAATTGATAAATTATTTTAGAGATTGTTAGCTCTAGAGTGGAGTCCGGAAGAGGTACAGACAACACAAATGTCCATAAGTGTATGTTCAAATAGACATACAGCATGCTAACCATCAGATGCTAACTAATTCAGATATCCATACACACAGATACCCACTCCTACTAAAACACAATAAACAACCAAACCCAGCCAAACCCAGCCCACACTCATTTACTGACAGATAAAATTACGTAGCACATATTTACCCAACTCACGTATATGTAAACTTATTTATTCACAAACACACTCAGTTACATGTACACACTCAAGTACATTTCTATGCAGACACCCCCCCAACACACCACTCTCGTGTAACTGTGCAAGCGTGAGCATCAGGCACGCTGCTTACGGATCCTTCCCTCAGACACAAACCTGACTGCTGGCGGGCCAGACACACACGTCCTGGTCCCTCAGCAAGGATTTACCGAGCTGCTGGGCCAGGGGTAAACAACACAGAATTCACTGAAATCGCAGGTCCCCGATTTCCCGGCCTGCGCCTATGACCCGGGGATCACGCAAGCAGGCAGAAAGAATTTGCGGGTGGCGCGGAGGCCCCGCGGCTGCCCGCCGCCCCTCGCCCGCAGCCCTGCCCGGTGCCCGTCCCGTTCGGCCCGGCCCGGCCCCTACCCGGTAGGGCTCCGCCGCCGCCTCCAGGAAGCGCACGGTGTGCGCGCCGTGCAGCCCGGCCTCGCGGCACACCACGCACAGCTGCGCCTCGTCGTCCTCGCAGAAGAAGTAGAGCTTCTCGCCGTGCTGGGCGCAGGCCTCCTCCGCGGGCCCGGGCGCGGCGCCCGGCTGCAGGCGCTCGATGTGCTCCACCACGCCCGCCAGCTGCCAGTTGGGCCGCAGCGCCCGGGCGCGGAAGGGCTCCTTGCAGAGCGGGCAGCCCGGCGGGCCCGCGCCCCGGCCCTCGCAGTAGCGCGCCAGGCAGCCGCGGCAGAAGTTGTGGCCGCAGTCGATGGTGACCGGCTCCCGCAGCGTGGCCTGGCAGATGGGGCAGGTGACCTCCTCGGCCAGGCTGCTCACCGAGGCGGCCGAGGCCATGCTGGGCTCCGGGGTGCGGGAGGAGCCCCCTGGACGCGGCTGCGCCCCCGCGCCCACGCGCGCCCACGGCTAGACGCGGACGGCGTCACGCCCGCTGGGACAGGCGGCCGCGTGCATCCCGGCCGCAGGGTCGGGTCCTCCTCTCTCGGGGTGAGAGCCGGCCCACGGCAGGGGCAGAAACAGCCAGCAGGGGAGAGCGGCCGGCTGGGGACCCGCTGTCCTGGGCGGCGCCCCTCACCTGCAAACAGGGCTGGCGTCTGCACCGCGGCTGCTGAAAGAAGTCGTTCTTTGCGGGAGGGGAGAGGCTGCGCGGGGAGGCGGTGCCACCCCAGCTCCCGTTAGGTGGCCGCTGTCTCCAGGGAGATTGGCCCTATCAGCAAGCCCAGAGCTTGCCAGGCCCTGGCAGGGGCGCGTGCGGACTCCGATAAGGGCCTGTGCTGGGGGACACAGCACAAGCACCGTCGCCCGCGGTGCCCGGCTGGGCCGGCGCAAACGTCCAAGGGGCTCGACTGCGCTCTGCCCTGGGAGGGAAAGACGGTGGTCACGGCCAGGACTTCTGGGCGGCGACCGCATCTTGCACGGATACCGGGCTTCGCGCGCGCTCACCGAGCCCACCGTCTGCTCCGCAGCCTTCCGTGCTGTCGGGTCTCCGGGGAGCCGGGAAGCCTCAGCCCGGTGGCCTCCGCCTGCCCCAGGTGCCGACGTGGGAAGCCGCGTGACCCTAATTTACAGTCAGCTCTTGGGAGACGCAGAGCTCTGAAATATAATTCAAGGCACACGTGCAATTTAAGATTTTCTAGTAGGGATATGGAATAAAGAAACGTGAAATTTTTGTATTTTACTTAGCCCAATGTTTCCAAAATTATTTCAACACGTAATCATGGGAGGTTACTAATGAGGCGTTTTGTATTTCCTTTTCAATGACAAGTGCTTAACACCCCGTGTGTGCTTTGCGCACTGGTACACCTGGATCTGGGCTGGGAGGAGCGTTGCAGTGCAGCCCCGAGGGGAGCGGGGAAGGGGAGGCGCCGGGCTCAGGAGCAGAACGCGAGCAGCACCGGGTGCGGGCTGGCCATCCGCGGAGACGGGAAGTGGATCTGGCTCCTCCACTGGACCGCTGGCTCGGGGCTTCCCGCGGGATCGGAGTACGGGGAAGAGCGCAGGATCTCAAGCTGGACGAGCTGGTTTGTTCCCAGCCTGAGGGCTGTAAAGCTCTGTGACCTTCAGAAAGTCACTTGATCTTCCTGTTTACATCTCTGTAACATGAAGGCACTCATACCTGCCCCGAAGGACTGCCATTACTATTGGATATAGTAATACAAAAAGCGGTGAATGTGTTTGTTTACTTCCGTGACCAACTGGGTTTTCTAAAGTTTATCAGCACATCATTTGCATTATGATTTCTTGCCGTCCGCTACCTCGAGTTAAAAAATAAAATTGAAACCCACAGCTACCAAGCCTGGGGGGCTGGCGGTACAGGCGGTGGGGACTGAGAAGCACAGCTCCGCCAGGCAGGGGCGGAGGAGGGAGGCGGGGAAGTAGGGCGCTGGACCAGCGGAGGCCCCGCGGATCCCAAGTGGTCACCGCCCCCTCCAGCCTGGACTTTGATGCTTGGGCGCCTCAGAGCTGGAAGTTTATGGCTCCTTCCTGCTCAGCCTGACGGAAGTGGCTCCTCCTCAGTTTTCCCCACGCCTCTGCGGTCAGGGGATTCCTGGAAACCCATCTCCCGGTGCCCGCATGGTGTGCCCTGCTCCCCACCCCAGGGACCAGAAGGGACGGGAGCGCAGGACCCAGCACCGGCTCCTGGGACGCCCCGTGTGTCAAGACGCCCTGGAGTTTGGACCCCGCCGGGGCGCAGGAGGCGGAGCCGGGGGAGCTCTTCTCTTCAGCCTCCTCTTCCTTGCTCTCCATGACGCACTTCAAGGTGACTCAATTTCAGGGAAAGGAAATTCGTGTGGAGAGAGACAGAGGCCTGCGTGGGCCGGCTGGGGAAGGCACCGTGATGCCCACAGCCGCGTCCCTTCAGGGGGTCCACGACGGGGCCACCTGTCCGGCCTGCGCAGGGCCGCCGAAGGATGCGGTGACAGCCACCTGTGGACACAGCTTGTGCGGGCCCTGCCTCCCGCCCCCCGCCCGGATGGGGGCCCAGCCCTCGGGCAGGCTGCTGCTCTGCCCGCTCTGCCAAGAGGAGGAGCCGACGGAGGCCCCCGTGGTCCCTGTGCCCCTGGGCCCGCTGGGGGAGACCTACTGCGAGGAGCACGGCGAGAAGATCTACTTCTTCTGCGAGAAGGACGCCGACTTCCTCTGCGTGCTGTGCCGGGAGGGCCCCGCCCACCAGGCCCACAGCGTGGGCTTCCTGGACGAGGCCATCCAGCCTTACCGGGTGAGCAGGCCTGTGGGGGCGGTGGGGTCCCGCGGTGATGCCGGGCCCGGGAATCAGCTTTTCTGACACATTCCCTTAGCCCAGGGGCAGAGCAGCCTCCTTGCTCCAGCTCCCTCTGAGCACCTCAGCCGCTTTTTAAAAATTTTTTTTAATTTAATTTTTGTCTTTTTGAGACAAGGTTCCACTATGCAGTTCAGGCTGGCCTTGAGCTCACTTTGTAGCCCGGTCTTGCCCCAAACTCACAGTAATCCTCCTGCCTCGGCCTCCTGAGTGCTGGGATTACAGGGGTGCGCCACCACTTCTTTTTTTGTTGTTGTTACATGGTTATCATGGGTGTCCAGCTCCTGCCCTAGATGGTGCTCTCCATGGAGACATGGACTGGGTGTTTGTCACCTTGGAAAACCCCTCAGCATGCCGTGGTATGCGTAAAGGACATGATACATGATTGGTATTTGTGAGTTGAGTTATTACTTGAGCCCCCATCTCTGCCCCTTCCTCTCCCCCACAGGATCGCCTCAGGAGCCGACTGGAGGCTCTGAGAGCGGAGAGGGACAAGATAGAAGACACAAAGTGTCGCGAAGACCAGAAGCTCCATGTGCTGCTGGTAATGGCCGAGCCACGGGCTCCCCTGTCCTCTGGGCACTTTCCTAACAGGCCGGGGAGGCCTGGCCTGTGGTGTCTACATGGGAAGGCCTGGGGACCCTCTCTCTCACTCTCTGCCACCACACACGGGCTTGGAGCTCGGAATGTGGGAGTTAGGAGTGGTTCTGACATCTTCTAATCCAAGATGCTATTTATCCATCATTTACGGAGCAGAAAGTGGGGTCCTGCAAAGCGATGTGGGAGCATCACTAGGTCTCAGGACAAAGCCCAAGGCCATGCTGAGGTCGCCAGAGCCTGGTCTCGTGAACCTTAGTCCATTGCTCTTCTGGCCCAGCCCAGTGGCCTGAAGCCGGGGACGGGCGGAGAAGGCCTGGATTCCATGCTTGACCCCAAGGCTGAGCCTGAGGACCACAGACTAGGGTGTGGCCCCGCCTGGCTCCTTCCCTGCTCTTCCATGCTAGTCAGGAGGAAGTCCCCGGGTGGGAAGTCATGCCGTGCGGCCAAGGAGAAGGGATAGCAAGACAGAAGGACTCTCCAGTGTCCCTCTGTTCCCTTAAAGCCTGTCCCCACTGGCTAAAATCCGGGCCACACTCTTCCGCCAACCTGGAAGAGGTAACCCTGGATTCTTTGGACCTCCCTTGTTCTCTGTGAAATTACCATGGTCCTGTCCACCTAGCTCTCAAGAAAGTACGGGAGGGATCATCAGCGTGGAAGAAATTCTGAAAACTTCTGCATGGCTCTGACAGCACGATGGGGCACACTTCTAGAATCTTTAGCTAAGACAATAGAAAACAGAGCGCTCTCACCATTGGCAGGTTCCTCACCAGCGCTACCTACTTCTTCCGCGGTGTCATTCGGAGGAATGAGTCGCGCAGCGACTTCCCCTGTGTGGCACTTAGTCACTAATGGCACAGAGGACCGTCGGGGGCCCCCGGAGCCCCTCCCTCACCGTGTCGGTCTCCCCATCCCTGGCAGGCCCAGATTGAAAGCAAAAAACAAGAAGTAGAAGCAGCTTTTGAGAGGCTCCAACAGGAGCTGGGCAACCAGCGGCGCCTCCTGCTGGCCAGGCTGAGGAAGCTGGAGCAGCAGGTGTGGAAGGAGAGGGAGGAGTACATCGGCAAGGTCTCTGAGGAAGTCGCCTGGCTTGGTGCCCAGGTAGAGGAGCTGGAGGACAAGTGTCAGCAGCCGGCAAGTGCGCTTCTGCAGGTGAGACGCCTGCCACATACCCGCAGGACAGCGGAAGGGTTCCACAGGAAGCGCCACGCACCGGGCTGAAAAACGCTGGGGCGAGGCAGGAGAGGGAAGCACAGATCTGCTTGTCTGGCCCAGAGAGGCGGGCATATGCCGTGGGCATGTGAAGGAAGAGCTGTGCAGTCACACTGGCTTGGGTCTGGTGTCAGCTTTTCCAGCTTGTCTCGGGGCGAGTCTCTCACCCCCTCCAAGCAATAGGGATAATGGTAGCATCTGCCATGGGGTTGTTGCTGCGCGTCTAACATGCTCAGCATGGGTCCCAGCACACAGGAGCTCCATACTTAGCGCCTGCTGTGGTTGTCATGGGCCAGGGTCAGGTCAGGTCTGGCTGAGAACCCAAGGCTGGTCCCTGCTCTCCACCATCCCCAGGAAAATGCAGAGACAGAGAAGCCAGGAAGTGGCTGCAGAGTCCAGAGCAAGGGCACACGGTGCAAAGGAACGGTTTTGATGAGTAATCAAGCAGATATCTTCCTGGGGGAGGAGAGTTTGGAGCTGAGGTTTTGAGGGAAGGGAGATGTACACAGTCCCTGGCAGGAAGGACACATGGGAGCTAAGTGCATGTTCTTCTCTTTCCTTCGTAGGATGCCAGAGTCGCCCAGAGCAGGTAGGGTCACTTCCCCTCCAGCCTCCGTATCTGCATGCCTGAGACACTGACGGGGCCCGCCTCCCCCAGGGTGGGTGGCTGCCCAGGGGACAGTGAAAGCCACCGACAAGCCCACTCTTAACTAACAGCCAAAAAACTAACTATAGCAAAAAACTAACAGCCCGCTTGGGTCCTAAAGGCTTACTTTTCAACTGCTGGGTTGGTACTGGGGGCACATTTTTCTTCCTAGAAGTGGTTATAATTAGTAGTCATGGTTTTAGGCAGATCCAAAGACATCTTTAATCCACGGAAGTATTACTATTTGAGTCAGTACCTAACACCATTTGAAATGGAATTTGAGGAAGTATTTCAATAGCTTATGATAAGCTGGAGCCTAGGAAGACCACTCCGGTCCTCCCTTCCCCACTCCCTTCTCCGGGTTCCCTCAGTCCCCCAGTGCTACCGGGGGGCACAGCCCCCAGGGGCTCCTTTCCTTTCTCCTCTGCTGCACGCGTGGGCAGTCTGCTGAGATGAAAAGACACATGATAGGGAACCCCTGCTGGATACTCCGTGCCCACCCTGGGAGCAGCTGTAACTCAAGCATCCCTGAGCCAGGAAGTGGTTCCAAACGCGCTTTTCCAAGGGCATTAGAGTCGGAGAGGAGAGGGGCTCCAGTTTGAGTCTGAGGAAGGTGGGGCGGGCCGGAGCCAGGACCAGAGTCAGGAGCTTTTTTGCGACAATATGTATTTTCTTTCATCTCCATGTCTTCCTTTCCCTTTATTTTTTGTTTTATTATTATTTTTATTTTTGTCTTTTTGAGACAGGGTCTCCCTATGCAGGTCAGGCTGGCCTTGAGCTCACTTTGTAGCCCAGGCTGGTGTCAAACTCGGAAAGATTCTCCTGCCTCAGCCTCCTGAGTGCTAGGATTACAAGCGTGCGCCTCCACGCCCGGCTTCCTTTCCCTCTAAAAAGCTCACAAATTAGAAACGGATCCGGGCTGTTTTTTCAAGTGGCAATTGCCGCTCTCTAGGGGCTCACAGCGGCAGGGTTTCCGCCTCGGTCAGCGCGGCCTCCCTGGGGTTCTTGAGACGCGGTCACCTTCGTTCCTCTGAGATCTGAGGAATGCCTGTTGTAGAAAACGCGCATTTCCAGCAAAGGTGAAGAAATGGTCGTCTGGCGGGCGCCCCGCTGGGCGCGTTCTCTCCGGGACTTGAGCGGCCCCCCACGCCTGCAGGTGTGACGTGAGGCCGGCTGGGGGCCCCGAGGCCATTTCCTCAGACCTTATCGCGAGGATCCGCGACCTCCACAGGACGACGCTGGTCCTCCCGGAGATGATGAGGACGTTCTCAGGTAGGGAGAGGCGGCCACTGCGGCACCCCGCCGCGCTTTCCCGGGGAGTCGGCTCCGCCCCGGAGGCCGGCCGCAACCCCGCTCACGGTCCGCTTTCCGCCCCCGCAGAGAACCTGGAGCGGCACCTGGGAACAGGTTCAGGTAAAGGGACTGGGGAGCGCTCACTCCCGCGTTCAGTCCTCGGCATCACGCCGCACCCGCGTGCCCCTGAAAGTAAGACCTAGCTGGGCACCGGCGCGGCGGGCACGGCCGACCGGCTTCCAGGGCCGGGTGTTTTCCGGCCAGGGCGGGTTCGGGGCGCGAGCATCGCGCGCTCGAAGCTCAGCTCGGGGCCCTCTGGCGCGGGTGAGGGGGCCTCGTCGTCCGGTTCTTCATCCGAAAAGCGGGAGGCGGAGGGGCCGCGAGGACTGAGCAGATCGCTGCCGGCAAGAGCGTGGCGTCTGCCCGGCGCGCAGCCAACGCTCCGTTAACGTTAGTTATCAGCACTTTCCGCTCAAAAACGTGCGCCAAGCCTCATTTCACCCACGCCGCACCGGGTTCTGTACGTGTGAACAAACCCCGCGGCTTCCGCCAGGCCCGCTGAGGCGGCCGGAGCAGCCGCGCGCCAAAGCCAGCCCGCCGCCTCCAGACACAGCTTGAAGCTGGTGCTCAGCGCTGCCCGGTCCCGCACCCGCCCCAGGCCCGAGGCGGCAGCGGCCGGCGGGTCG